ATTTGCAGAGCAGTATATACCTTCAAGGTACTTACTTCATGCCACTTTTGCAGCCACGTCTGAGTATCATCACGGACGACAATAGGTAAGCTCTCAAGACAGTCCGCCCATCCCATGTCTTCAAAAGCCCCAAGGTCAATCCTTCCCAGCAACGCCGTCTTTTCGTATTGCTGAGGTAAAATGCTCTGCTCAATGCGGTTGACAAAAGTATCAGTCAAAAGACGCGACAAGCGATGAACCGGACTGTTCTCGACGGCCTCTGCAAACAACTTCCGCATACGATCCAGCACATCCTCGTTCAGACAGCGGTACTCGACAGATAACGATAGACTACCAGTAGTGCTGATCCGGCTTCTCCGTTTCTGTGCGGCATCCACGGCCTTCTTGACGACTTTGTACGTGACCGCCACTGGCTGTTTCGGAAACACATGTAGTGGTTCCTTTGGCTGCCTCGGTGCATGAACATCGAACTCTTCTGATCCTTCTAGCGAAACGGCCAGAAGTTCCAGTGGTATGTGATTTGCAGTCTTGATGTTGAATTTCGAGAACAGTGACTTGTTCTTAAAATGGTCATGTACATTGACGTCCAAAGGCAGCTCGACAGGAATCACAAAGGACGAAGTGTACTGGAACTGTCCGTTTTCGGTGAAATAGTCGACGTCAATCTTGACAGTAAGATCCTGGAGAATCGTTTCCATATCATAAGGTACTTTCAAGGTGGCCGCGGAGCCGGCTGCCATTTCTCCAATTGCAATGACACCGGGAGTTTGCTTGTTGTCCTCGAGTTCAATGTCGCCGTCTTCTATGCTTGCGTCTGCCGTGCGTAGCCGTAGTCCTGCAGAAGCAGACTTTAGTCGGATATCTGCACGCTTTATCGCATTCCAGCCACTCGAGAATTCGACTTCAATATGGCGCGGCTTGTCGATGTGGATCAAATGCGAAAGATAGATGCGAGCTTGGAAAGCTTCAGTACGCGGAAAGCATAGAATCCTGGCTTTCTTAGCTGCTCGGAGCGAGTGCGCTGATACAGATGTGATGATGCCAAGAGGTGTTGTTGCTTCAGTCTTCTGGAAAGGCTCGTGGACAAAGACGATGCGCTTTGCTTCCAAGACGATCCTATCCACCATGTATGGCCCAATGGTATTCACCTGGAACACATTAGCCTTCCCCATGAAGCAACGCTGAGACACTTACATTGCAACCAATCCACATGCGGTTCAACCCCTTCTTCAGCTGGATTGTACCAGTCTCTTCGAGCCATACGTCCTTGGCCTGGTTGGAGATGGCACTGACTAGTCTGATCTTGGCTGCACGAATCTCAATCTCATCCTCGAGGAGATGCCTGAATTGAAGACGTAGCTGGAACCCATCTTTGTCGTCGTAATGTCTCACATAAGGCTCCACGGAAATGTCGCTAAAATACTTCGCCATCTGTACAGTGACATCGTAGGGCAATTGCTGTGAATAGCCCACAATCTCGTGAAGTACATCAGTGGTATCCACATTGTCATCGTTGAGCCATTCGTGAGAGTCGCCCGTTGTATCGATCCGTTTTGACGAACTCTTAGCCGCCATTCGACTCGCCGATGACTTGGCCAACAAATCCAGTACTGTCCGCACGTATTCGTCTTTACGATTGAGCTTCTTGAGACAGCGCGCATGCATCTTAAGCATGGTAGCTTCAACAGTGTTCCACCTGCTTGTTGCAAAATAGGAGGCCATACGTCCAAAATATGTTGCTGCCGCTGCGAAATCGCCCAGCTCACTATATCCATGTAAGAACGAGGTATTTCTGGCTTAAGTAGCAGCAGACTTACAATTTGAGAGCAGCTAAATCACCGAGCACTGTCTCTGCTGATTTGTTCTGACCTGCAGCCATGTAGTGCTTGACAATGAGATCACTCAGCGTCTAAATCAAGGTCAGTAATAATGATGAACATTGCACAAGATCACATACCTCATAGAACTGTCGGAATTGCCCGAGAGACGACATTGCTGTGAGCAACGCCGCAGCAGATATACCGATACGTGCTCTTGCAAGCTCAGAATCTGGTTTGACATTGGAAGCCTCCTTTTCTGCCGCACGTTCAGCCTCCTCTTCTTCATCCAGACTGACGTCCGTCAGCTCTTCCTTCACAGTCAGAGAGGTGACAATAGCATTCCACCCGATATTCCAACCCAAAGCCTTGCCTGCATGCTCGAGCAACCGTCGCTGAATTGCAAGAAGTTGTGCTCGTGTGCCAGCAAGTTCCTGCAAGCCGTTCCTTGCAGAAATAGTTGTGCCTGGCTGCCCTGTAGCTGGCCGATCATGATACTGTCCATTCTCAAACACCACCTGAGCATTTGGCGCAGTTTGGGAATACGGCATATCGGGCGTAGATCGCCCCTGATTCAGCGAAGAAGAACGAGAAGGAAGCTTGGGGTCGGAGCTCTTGCTCTTTGACTCCTTGCTGCGACCGCTAAACGAACGGCCTTTGCTTGTAGAGCCAGAAGATGCATCTCTAGTGGGCCTGTCGGATGGAAGAGAAGAAGTTGATGTCTCGCGTATTACCTGGCCCAATGCGGCGAATGTCCACGAGCGAACAATATTTTCAACTAGATAACTCTCAAATGTAATCTCATGCGCCTTTGCTCTAGCGGTGGGCATTAGTACGAATAAAGCAATAGATATTTCAAAACATACCCATTGATCAGATCATCTCGCAAGAGTCTTCCAGCGAATGTTATGAAATTCAACGCACGCGTACAGAGGTCTGCAAGCGAGAAAAGATCTTCTGCTTCCTGGGGTTGACCGCCTGATTTCATACCGATGGCGCTGTCATCGGTCGACTGCTGAACTACGCCAGCTTTTGGCCAAGTCTGTAGCTTAGTTGCAAGATCTGAACGTGCAGATATTGAGTTACCCAGCCTAAGAAGCAGGGACATTTGGCGGGCGAAGATGTACACTCTAAAATCAAAGACAGAGATATTATTCGCAAGGATGAGACCACGATAGTCCTTTCTCAAGGCATTGATCGGGCTGTCGTCATGGATAGCCAGTTGGGGACTGTTCGGATCAGCCTCATTTTTCCCTTCTTGCTTTGCAAGCTCTGCTGCTTTCTGGTAAATGTCGTCGGAATAGCCAAGAAGAACGCTTCCTTGTGCCTGCTCACTCGCTTGGTCACGAATTACACTGTCCAGGCCAATCGAGAGCTCATCGTACACTAGCAAAGCATCTTCCACCAGCCCTACACTCTCAAAGCCTCTCGCAAGGCCCTCCTTGAGGATGAAGAAAGTGTTAAAGTTCCAGCCAGGAAAAGAGCGCTGAGCGTCATTCTTCCGAATGTCTTCCTCATATTGGCTCACACGCAGATCGAATGAAAGAAGAATGAGCACCTTGAATCTAGATATGACGTCTTGCCAAGCTCGTTCTTGCTCTTGAGGGCTTTCGCTGATTGCGGGAGAGCTAGCAGGTCCTGCAGGTGGAAGCATATGCGGCGGGACTCTTTCTTTGGGCACTCGTATCTGAGCGACCCGGTCTGGCGCTGACTTGGATGAAACATTAAAGTCGGCACGTAGCTTTTCGAGCAATGTGGTCGTCCCGCGAGTCCATCTTGAAGCTGCTCCAGTCTTTTCTTTCTCACCTGTCGAAGCACTAGCAGATCCACGGGGCTGGCTCGCTGCTGGCGTGTTAGGTACTACGACATGCAGAATCAACCATTCATATGCATCGTGGTTTTCCTGGTTGGTTGCTGTGCTACTCTGAGAAGGCGGCGTGTGATCCTTGACCCATTCTCGTACCAATTTACGCGCAGTTGATTTGTACGCATCAGAGTCATCGCATCTTAACAGGTAGATCCTGAGGTACGGTGTTTGACGCAGGCCGGGAATTTGATGACGTCTCTCTTTTTCTTTGTTAGGGGCCCTGAAGATCTCTTCTGTGGTCCTTTTGGGCGTACCTTGTCCAGATGCTACAGCTGATGATGCTGCACCCGCAGCCTGTGCTGACTCTGGGCTAGGCACAAGGTCGACATGCAGCGAGTCTATAGACCTCAATGGCCGTGTCGGGGCTTTCCAATGCAAGTTGCGAAGAGGAAGGTGTGCAACCAAGTCTTCTTGTATCAATCCAAAGACCCCAGACGGGTCATGGTACTCGACTGTAAAGAGTAAGCGGTGCTACGATGAAAGCGACCAGGGTGTGTGCGCACCCGTCACTTTTGAGCTTGAGAGCCCATCCATCACCGTAAGCTCGGCTGGGGTTTGCCTAGAAGCATCCTCTGCGGCACCCAGGGCTGGCGTATCATTTCCAGCCACACTCATGAAACACGCACGCGACCGAAATACAAAGGACAATTAACGGATTACTGTGCGGAATGAAGCTTGCTGGATTCTGCGGGAATGGATGCCGTTGCGAAATGAGGGCTGCACCTTGGATGGCTTCACCGCTAGCGTGGTTAGCTTGTCGCAAGTCTAGCTCCTGACATAGCCCCACAATATCACGTGCGGAGACCTTCACCGGCACACGTTGTCTGTCTAAGCCACCTCCAACTGACCGATCAGTGATAAGCATTCAACGTTGTTGATTCCTGGCCCCACATTGACTTTGATCGTGATTTGCTCAGCCTTAAGCGATGCATTGTGGCGCTGTTCATGAGGCGCTCTGCATGCCGCATCGTATTCTTCGCTTTCCACAAAGACGTCAATGTTGATTGGTAGGGGTTGAGGCATTTTCCAAGTTAAGACATCCACGACTCAAGATATGATGCTTTGCTTTCTGTCGCTGACTGCTCATAATGAGTTCGCTTTCAGCTCAGGCTTTCTTTTGAGGAGCCTTGCCCATTGGCATTTGGTGTACTGCCTCTGCAATGCCCAAATTCGTCTTCCACCCCAGGGAAACAAAGTCCTAAATACTTCAAACCACCATACATCGAATCTTGAGAATCTTGATACTCTCCATCAACCTATCGCCGTACTGCACATCACTACATCACTAGTGTACTCGACTTCTCTAGAGAATCAGAATGGGAACGGGAGACTACTCTCCAGACAGCGTATGGTACTATGCGCCCAATAAAGCGGCCCCGATCCTCTTCATAGTCCTCTTCTCCATCTCAGGAGCCCTTCACATATGGCAAACAATGTATGTATACATATCCCTCCATTCTACTTGTACGCTAACACTGTCAAGCAAATTCAAGTCCTGGCGCACAACCGCCCTCCTTCCTTGGGCCGCCCTCCTTATGATCAGTGGCTTCGCCGTGCGTCTTGCCGGCGCCTACGACACTTCGTCCCTTGCCTACCTGATCGCCTCGACCGTGCTAATCCTGTCTGGTCCGCCAGTCTACGCTCTGATTAATTACTTCATCCTCTCCCGTCTTTTATATTACATCCCTTATCTCGCTCCCCTGCACCCCGGCCGTGTCGCAACGACCTTCGTCGGGCTCGACGCCGTGTGCGAGGTTCTCATCGGACAGGGCGCATGGCGCATGGCTGACTCCAGCTCGTCTGACTCTCAGCGGGAGTTGGGTTCGCGACTTGTAAGTGCCTCGCTGTGCCTTCAGGCTGCGCTATTCGGTGCCTTTGGGCTTCTAGGTATGCAGTTCCAGCGACGCGCAACCGCAGCCGGCGTATTGAAACCGCATCTACGTACAGTTCTATACGTCATGTATGTGAGTGCTAGCATTGTTACGATTCGCTGCATCTACCGGCTAGTAGAATACTTCTCGGGCTGGGACTCGGCTGTGTACAAGAACGAAACTTACTTCTGGATCTTTGAGGCAGCGATTATGCTGATTAATACTGTCTTGCTCAACATCTGGAACCCAGGGAAGCGGCTTCCGCCATCTAATTCCGTTTTCCTGGCAAGGGACGGAGTGACAGAGAGGAGGGGTCCGGGATGGGGTGACGATAGGCCCTGGATCGTTACGGTGTTTGATCCTTTTGACATCTGGGGTCTTGTGAGGGGCAGGGATAAAAAGACACAGTTTTGGGATTTAAGTGACGCAGAACTTGAGGCGATGCGGTTGGAGAAGAAGAGGAACAAGAGAAGTTGTGGACTTGCTTTCTTGGATCCGTTTCACCTTTGGGGAAAGACGGGCTATATTGCGGGGTGGTTTGGTAAGACGAGGACGAGTGGACAACCTGTAACTGCCGAGGTGTCAACGGCACAGATGAAGATTCGTAGTTCGGAAGTGAAGTGCGAAGTTTGAAGGCGGCGTGAGTTGTTGCGTTTTATACCAAAAGAAGTCACGACAGCGTAATGTATAATAGGAAATAGAGAGAGAGAGAGAGGGGCGGAAATCAAACACTTTTGTATACCAAACAACAAGACATCACAGGACGAACACACGGTTAGACATTGGACAAGATGATATTGATGGGAGCCCTGTTAACCCAAGGAATCTATACAATCGACATGCAAGCCTCCCTTTTTTTAATTTTGAGGCCATGCGGGTAAATATGTATTTCCATGCCACATTCTGGCAAAGCCAACCCCCGCATTGGGCTGTAACAATAGCTGCAAAACCTGAGCAAAGATGACTCAACCCGTTAACTTCAAGGAAACAACAAGTGCGCGACGCGTTGTGTGAGCATGTACTTCACCTCGTAATTCACGCGACAAAAGAGTACATGATAATAGTAGCGAGAATGGAAGTAGAGTTTTAGAGCATGTAGTGCTTGTACTGAGGTATGTGAATGTGTCGGTATGTGTAGTAGGGTGGGGAAACAAGGCAACAAAAAGGAAATGGTGGTGTGTGCAGCTCTGCCGATTGGCGTATGTATCAATAGAAGATAAAAAAAAATGGAAAACAAATGGGTACAGAACAAGGTTAGGAAATAAGAAGGCGAAAAATAAGGGCCGCCATGGTGAGAGTCGCCCTTTTGTCGAACTCGAAGGGGTATAGATGATCAGAGCACATTAGATCCGTGACAGAGAACACAAAACGCCGTACTCCAACAATTAACACCTATGCAGATATTGGGCTAACAGCCTTTTTTATAGTGGCAGCATAGCCGTCAGCATCAAATGAAATTAGACGCCGACTTCAGGTACATGGCGTTGTCGTTGTGTTCCGTCGGCACGCCTGTAGCTCATAGCAGCACGGTCCATGGGCTCTTCCATGTCAGGGGAGCCAGGATCGTAGCTATAACCCGCACCGGATGGCTGGGGCCTGCTGCCTGCTACCATGCGCTCATTCAAGTGACGAGAATCGAATGTGCTGGAGAAGGAGCGTTTGTTTGATGTGGCAGACATGGGTGGAAGGCCCTGAGTCTGAGGGTTAAACTTGGGGAGAGCATAGTGTTGGTTGGAGCCGTCAGAGTTGACAGACATTGCGGCAGACATCGAGGTAGGTGGGGATTGGTACGAAGGAGAGACGGGCTCCAGCTTGTCTGCAACAATAGGCCTCAAAGAGGGCAGGGATTGATGAGAAGGAGCCGAAGACGTGTACGATTGAGGCGATGAGTGCAGGGGCTGCAGAGGCTGGCTCATCTGCTGCGATCGGCCGTACTGGTCCACAGGGTGGTATGGTTGTACTGGGTGGTTCGAAGCAGTGTATTGCTGAGCTGGTGATTGCGTAATAGACGAACGACGGTAGTCGGATGGGTGCGCATAGTCGGAAGACATCTGCTCTTGTCTCGAAGGTGCAGCGTGGTCGTATTGAGACTGCGACTGTGACTGCTGCGACTGTTGCTGCTGTTGCTGGTAGTTGGAGTATCCGTATTGCTGGTTCATTGGCACCGGAGGCTGTACCTGGTGCTGGCTGCTGTAGCTGCTGTGCTGTGAGTGCTGCGAGTACGGTGTCGGATGCTGCGGGGGCTGTGGAGGTTGCATCATCGGGGCCGGCTGCGAGGTTTGGTATTGCTGTGAATACTGGGGTTGGTTGGAGCCGTATGATGGCATCTGTCCATAAGCGGGAGTCTGTGGCGGGGGCATCTGCTGCTGGTAGCCGTTGCCAGCAGAATAACCGTGGCCCATTTCCTCGATGCTCGGGCGGCGCGGTGGCGCGAGCGCAGGGTTGCTGGCGCTGGACAATGAGCGGGGACGGTCGTCGAGAGGGGCATTTGGAGCTTGGCCATAGTTGTCGGGAGTTGCAGTGCCTCGGGCGCGATCGTAACCTCCTCCTTCCTCGTCGTACTCATCCCACTCCTTGGACGACTTGTTCTCACGGCGCCTCATCCTGACGTCACGACGGATACGGACACGGCAGCCCTGCTCGGCAACCATGCGGCTCAGAGCAGTGCTCTCGGACAATCCAGGAAACTTCTTGGCGGAGAAGACGGTAAAAGGAGCCGACTTGACTTCGCAACGGTGGGTAACAAAGTGGTTGCCATCGTAGATGACGTCGGGGTCCTCGGGATCGAGGTCCTTGACCTCTGCCAGGTTCTCGAAAAGAGCAAAGCTCAGACGGTACTTGCCCTCGTGGCGAACGGACAAGTCGGGGAAGATGAAGTAGCCAGCGGGCGTTGGGCGGTCGAGGTAGGCCATACCAGCAACCGGGGTACCTGTCAGGACTGGAAAGCTGGGTCCGGCGGTGGAGGGAGCGCGTCCAGGAGCGATGGTACGGGCATTTTCCAGACTGGCGTGGAGGAAGAAGTTTGCATTGTAGGCAAAGGTGATTTCCTGGTCATTCTCGAAGACGCGCAACTCAACAATCGGGGGCGGGTCGACGGGACGTCTGTCAGCGCTCGACTTTGCGCCGCTACCACAGGCACGGGCGCGCTCAGGCTGCTGAATTACTTGCAGATTGTAGCGAATCTGCCTGCCATCCTTTGTGGTGCGGACAGACTGGCTCTTGGTCTCGTTGCTAACAACAATGTTGGACATGTTGGGTGGTGGTTGGAGTCTGTAACGAGTCAGCACAGGGCGTGGGTGGTGCGTGGGCGTGAGAGTGGGAAGTTGTGGCGAGGGAGTGGGCAGGGACGGGCAGGGACGGGCAGGGCTCGACCCGCAGCAAAGGTACACTTACGGCGGTGACCACAGAATTGGGGCTCTGGGTCGACTAGAACAACGACGATGGTGTTGTCAACCACGGGCGCGAGCGACCTGGACGTGTCAGTCGATGGGGTCTGGCAGTGCCGTGTGGTAACGTTGATGGGTTCGGTAGGGCAATAAGCATGGCGCTGGCTGACCCGAGCCCAAGTTACCGGGCGAACTTAAAGAGGCGCAAAATGGGCAGCTGGAGCGTGGGAGCGTGAGGAAGAGGAGGAGGTGAGATGCATACCTGTGTGGAGGAGGATCCGCCAAAAGGACAGAATGGGGGCGGACAGTGAATTGGTCGTCGTGGTGGTGATGAAGAAGAAGAAACGCGACGTGGATGGATGGATGGATGGATGGATGGATTGGGGGGCTGATGAGACGGGGACAGGGCCGGGTGTAGCAGCTAGCCACCAGAGGGATGAGCGACTGGGGATGGGGAATGGGGGATGGTCGCCGAGGACCGAGGGGCCAGAATCAGGCGACGCGACAGCGAGAGCGAGGCGTGATGGCTTTTGATGGTTCTGGTGGGTTGGGGGGAGGAGATGAGCGAGAGTAGGGATTGCGCGGGCAGCAACTGGTACGTGTGCCGGCGGAGGAGAGGGTCAGCAGCAGCAGGAAGGCATGAATACGCCGACGAGGGTCTGGGAGGGCAGAAGCAGGACGGCGATGGGAATATGGGCTGAGAGAAGGGCAGCAGCAGCAGGAGCAGCAGCAGGAGCGAGCACGCGGCTAGGCCTAGTCGATTATCAGAGAGGGACGGCTGGCTGGCTAGCTGGCCCGGCGGACAGGCTCATCTGCACTGACAGATTTAGCCGAAGTGGAGCGAACAAAGAGAGGATAGTTTGGTGCCGCCATTGGTTTGAGGTTGCTCGCGCACACACGGGGGAGCATGCAGCCGACGCCTCCGCGGGGCCACGGCAGCGAGGCGTCGTATGCATCTCGACACGAAGCGACGGCCATGGCAAGGCTGCAGTCCTGTAATTCCCATCTGAGTATGGACGTATATGTACATGGAAATATATGTACATGTGTAGCATGTGTCCAAGGATACATACGTACGTAGGGTGCAGTCAGTCGATCCATGCATCCACATTCATCACACACTACTTTACTCGAGAGCGGGAGGCAAGTGCAAGACAGATAGATTGGCACCCGTCTGCTCAGGCTTGAACTAGGCCCACCGATGACACGGTTCCATGCAACCCTGGGGTTCGGCACAGTCGAACCAGCAGCGACTTGCACAGAGGCCCGGCGGCTTTTGCACGCCTGCCCGGGTCGTGCATGGGCAGCAGCTATGGGCGAGGCCGTCGCTTGTCGTCGCTTGTCGTCGCTTGTCGTCTTGTCGTGGTTGTGGCTGTTGATGATGATGATGATGCTTCTGTCTCCGACTACGGTACATGCACCCACATATTCTCTCCCGCGCCCACGGCCACGTCTGCGCGCCTCAGTCGGCTGCCGTGCTGGTACGCTTCAGCCCACAGCCACCAGCACCAGCACCAGCCCCAGCCCAGGGCTTGGGAGGGGGGCGGGGGCCATGTTCTCTGGTTGGCGTAAGTATCTACTTACTTACTTACTTACTTAGACTATGGGGCCATGCATGCTGCCCAAGCTCGCTCTGTGCCGTGCAACCCCAGCTGGCTAGTGGCGCACAAAAGAGGACGAATGGCCTGATGGTCACCATGGCACACAGGCGCACACATCCATACACACAGTGCGCACATGAAGACGCGCCATTTTCACGTCATCTCGTCTCGTCTCATCGTCACCCGGCGGTTGCGTAGTGGTAGGGCTGTGGTGGTGGTGCGTGTTGCTTCTGCCGGGCCCGTCGGCGTTGGCACGAACGGTTCTCCAGGCGGTGCTTTTGGCTGCGACTTGGGACCGCTGCTGACAGCCCGAGGCGTCGTGGAAACCAATGGCCACTGAGGCGGATTTCCCAGCACCGAGCAGAGGGCGACAGACGGCCCACTCACACAGGATCATCCTGCCCAGCCTGCTCTGCCCTGCTGTGCCCTGTTCTGCCCTGCTGTGCTGCATGCACCAGCCCTCATCTTGCTACCCGCGGCTCCGCCCGCCATGATTCGCCCCAAGCCCTGATCCTTCCAACGGCCGACCAGCCTGGGGGCGATCCCACCCGCCCTCATGCTCCACCTTGCCCGCCGCTGCCCGCTGCTGCCCACACGCACACACACACACGGCCGCCCTTCTGCATCCATCCCTCGTCCACCTGTCCATCCATCCATCCATTCACATGACATCCATCCACTGCTACTACCTGCTACTCTGTCTCTTCCCTCTCCATACCCATAACTTGGCTTCCCCGGCCCGCCCGTCGCTTGTTCCTCCTTCGCACTGCCTTCGTCAACCACACGACCCTGTGGCGTGGTACTGTGGCTTGCCACCCGGACCAGCTGCTCTAGCCGAATCTCATTGCCAAGCACACGGCCGCGGTTTCATGCTTCATTGATTCGACCCACGCCCATCTCAACCCCCTTCGCTAAGTACATCCATCTGCGAGCATTCCCGACGCTCTTCTCCGCATCGCTCTACCTACTTACACGCCTAGGTACTTAGATGCTTACTAGCCCCTTGTCCTGCTGTACTTACACCACGGCTATACACAGTCCCGGTCCCGACATGGCTTGGTCATGACGTCAAGTACACATCTTTCGCTTGCCTGCATCCTCCTCTCTCCCCTACACCAATTTTTCACATACCCACTCTTACTATTTACGTCTAGTATCTCTCCGCGGCACATCTACTTACTCTCCGTGTCCCTGGATTCGCTGCAGGCTAGCCTCTCGGTATTCGTAGGCATTTTTGCTTCCAAGCTGGCAACACACACACTTGTTTCCACCACATAATACATCTTGACAATCCTTTACAACGGCCCGACAGGCAGCAAATCATTCCCCATTCATACAGTCATGACCGCATGCATCGTCTCTGAAACACAGTCATCATCATTGCATACTTACCCGGTTTCTTTTCGCGCTAATCATACGTCTTACTTACTCGGCAGCTGTTGGTTATTGGGTTCGTACAGACACATTTAAGTAAGAATTGATCTAGAAACAACCCACTCCTCAAGTAAGCGCCGATAGAAGCCCGACATCCCCAAACTCTATTCCGATCCCGATCGTGACGATTCAAGTAGATGATCCATTCAGCCGGACTCGAAAGAAAGACAAAAAAAGGTATACATATAGGCATGGTGCAAGAGCAGTACTCGACCAAGTTTCAGTCTGCCACTTAGTGCCTAATTATACCCTGGCTATAGACATATTGACACCATGACTTTGCATCTGCGTGGTAAAAGTTAGCAAAGAGGCATTTTCCTGCCAACTCATGACTGCAGACTTGCTACCGCAGCATAGTATTCCTACGACACTACTTGATTGTTGTTGAAATGGCTCATATCTTCTATCCTATCCAAATACTACATCATGCACGGTTACACAGACCCCAAAACATTGCATACTGCATTGCCATCTGCCAAAAGTTTACATGCCTCATTACCACTAGTGAGACCCTAGCTTGACAGTTATTCCCCCTACCGTGCCCCACCACCTCGCGCACACCACCACCTCGCGCACGCGCGGCCTCACCAAAACAACCTCATAAATGAGGCTCTAGAGCCACGCCAAATAGTTATTATCACGATATATCTTAGAGGTGAGGTTATT